GTGTTTTTTGAAATGTTAAAAACGTCTCGAATGCTGTTAAAGATAAAGCTGAAATTATATTACACAGTCCAAGCTAAAAAAATCACATTTTGTTAAAAAAGAGAAAAGTTGGGAGGTTGTATCAAAGCATAGCTCAGTAGCTTAGTACATATAAGATACATAAATGTAGTTTCATTTTTCTGAGTACAAGGTTTTATTTTTTTTCAATTTTGCACCCTGTTTTGTCCCACTTCTCAAGAACGACTGAGCTAATAGTGATCGTCCTTAACACTGCATAATGTAAATGTTACAGAAACCTGAAGCTTGTAAAAGGCATAATAACTCAAGCATTTCATAGATGACAGACAGCATGTGAAATTATACAACTGAGAAGAACTTACTTCGTGCTTAGTCACCGCTAATGGGAAACCGTAAATGACCGAGATCTTGCTAACTAAAGTGTGGCTCCTCGAACCTCAAACGCACGTACATTTCATTCATCCAGAGGAAAATGTTGCAAGCTGTCTTCGACGAAACTTGTATTTCCTCCAGGAGGCGCTTGGTGGCTCTTCTTCTTCTTCGTCTTCTTTTTTGTTCAATGGCCGTTCACTCCTTAGGAGTATTACCGCCACCTACTGCATATCTTGCGCACATGGGTGATGAATCTGTACTGAAGGGGAAAAAAAAAAAAGGGTAATGCCCCACCCACCCCAGAGGATCAGAGCCCAAGCATGTTCAGCTCCTCCAGCTTCTACACTGTGCTCCTCAACCTCCGAGATGGGCAGAAGCATCATGATCCTCTTCATCCTCAAACACTAAATCCTGTGGTCTAGTCCTGTGAGCTCTAAAAATGTTAAAACCACCTTAAACATCTGACTGTCACTCAAACCCTTTCCCAGAAGCTCCACGACACTCACTGGTCTGTTCCTTATATTGCTCAAAAGACTGTTACGCCGATCTTCATATTTACTACATTTAAATAGCACATGCTCTACTGTTTCAAAAACACCACATTCATCACACATACCATTTTCATGCTTCCCCATTAATGCAAGTGTTGAATTTAGTCCTGTGTGTCCCATCCTTAATCTAGAAATCATTACTTCTTCCTTTCTGTTTCTTCCATAAAACTGTTCTTTTTTCCCTACTGGTTTTACAATACTATAATACCACCTACCTGTGCTGCTATTTTCTCATCTTTGTTGCCATATTCTTATTATTTCCCTATTAATTACTGATTTTATCTCATTCCTTCCCAGAGGTACCTTAACATCCACCAAGTTTTTCTTTAAAGCTGCTTTTGCTGACTTATCCGCTGTTTCATTCCCTACTATCCCAATATGTGCCGGTACCCAACAAAAGTAAACGATTATACCATCTATTTTCAGTCTGTACAGTAATGTATACATTTCTACTAGCAGGTCTTCTCTATCAGTTTTTGTCGACAATATACTTTTAAGAGCTGATGAAGAATCTGAGCAAATTACAGTCGGCTTAATCTGTTCTACCCACTGCAATTCTACTATTATAGCAGTTAATTCTGTAGAATATACAGACAATTTGTCATTTAACCTTAAACTTATTTTCGTCTTAAATCTTGGAATGTACACTGCTTGCTGGCTCAGGAAGGCAAATTCTTCTTCTACCTACAATCAAATGTCAATACGTTTTAAAGTGTTATTTGGTAAATATTTAAATGTCACTCTCTTGTTCCTGAGATATAAATAAAAACATCTTCCTGCTAGCTTTATATAATGTTCAATCTTTATCATCAAATCACAAGAGCAATCCTAAACAGCGCGGAGTAAAGGAACAGGGACCACGTGATAGCACTGTCTAAGTTTCTTTTAATTTGATTTGTTTTAGCGGTGAACTTGAATGATGCTTCATAGAAACTATTCAGCCAGAGTTAGAAATATGAAAATGTATGTTTATAATGAGCAGTGTTGGGGAAAGTTACTTTTATAAGTAATGCATTACAATATTGCGTTACTCCATAAAAAAGTAACTAATTACAGTACTTAGTTACTTTTTATGGAAAGTAATGCGTTACGTTACTTTTGCGTTACTTTTAAAATCTGGACAGGGCTTGCTTGTTTGTTTTTAAAATAAAAAAAGTTAAAAAAAGACACAAATGTTTGTCTAGAGTAACTTTTGCTTATTAGTACGGTTGAACTGGATCATCGAAGGTCAGAAGCAAAGACATTGGTTAATAGAATGGGATTAAATACATAAAGGATATTTGTGTTGTTTAACATTTAATTATTGCAGGTTTGCGTCATATTCTGAGTTGCTTTGTTTTTATTCATTTTGAGGAATACGGAATCTGTGTTTTTATTTGTTAGTTTTTTTGTGAGTGAGATGAATTAATGCATATTCATATTTATTTTGAACTACAGTAACATCTTCTGATTTCTCTCAACATGTGGACAGGAGAGCTGTCAATTAATAAATTGGAGAAAAAAAAGTAACTTGCGTTACTTATTTGAAAAAGTAACTCAGATATTCTCTTATAAATTAAAAAGTAAAGCGTTACTTTACTAGTTACTTGAAAAAAAGTAATCTGATTACGTAACTCTCGTTACATGTAATGCGTTACCCCCAACACTGATAATGAGTGCCTAACTAAAAGAGCCTGGGGCAGATAAGCCCCGCCCATTGTATCATTCCTCAGTTTCATGCTAGTAGTCATTCTGGCGCGTAACCCTTTTCTGTGATTTCATTACTCTTTTTGCCTCTCGGCCACCGTAGAAAATACGGATCTCACGATATTTCTCTCGACTCGAATTTGAGATCTCGCGATATTTCCCCGGGCTACTATTGGAAGGTAAATAGCTCATCTCAGCTAGCTTGTGTTCATTACGGTTTGCTTATCCACCGCTGTCAACCCACCCGTTCATTAGTGAGCCTTTAAAAATGTAGCTTGCGGTAATATATTTGTCTTCAACCATCACTGCGAACGATATCTGTCAGGTAAAATGTTTTTTTCAGTAAACTATTGGCACATTTAGTGCTCGTCATCATATGCTAACTGACAGCTCGCTTGTTTATAAAATGTGCCGATTTTGATCATCATTATTATTGTCTTTAAGTGCTTTGAGATATTTGGTCTTGATTTTTTCTGAATACTGTCAATAATGTTGCTTTATCTGTGTTATTACCTTTTATTGTTATTTGTACAGTTGTAAATAAACCATCAACATTCAACACTCTTGCCCTTCCGTGGTTTGTTATGACCATGCCTTGAAGTGACCTAAATGTATTTATTTATTTAGAAAAGTTAGTTTGATGTTTTTGAGAGGAAAATTCAAAGTAAGCTGATGTGAAAAAAAGTACGTCCTATAATAATCACTAGATGGCACTACAGTTTTAATTAAACCTGCAATTTCTTATTTGTCTCATTATAGGAGCTCCACTCAGGACAAACCATGCAATTTAATTAAGTATACATTTACAAATAGTTTTTATGATGTTTGGGGTGCAATTATATCATTGAAGAGCAGCTAGTTTCAGATTTATTACCCTTACGGATGTAGTGAAACATGTTTTCTAAAATATATAACTTCTAAAGAGAAATTAGCTCTAATTAAAATTAACTGTTAAAGTGAAAACAATATCCTATCTTAAACTAAAGGTATAAATGACATCTATATTAAATATATAAGATTAAATCAAAAGGTTAATATTAATATAACATTAAACCAAAAGGATAAAGGACATCTAGTAAACAACCTTCCTATTACTTATATATAAATATATAAAAGATATTAGAAACAGAAAACATTTCTTTATTTTCTGTTAGCAAGGCTGTGTTACTGTTAATAATAAGCCATGTTATTTTTGGACTTTGCACTTGGTTTATGATAGCATAAAATAATTTCCTTGAACACGTTTAGACATTTTTGAAATAATGAAATGTCTTAAGTGGACATGCATTCCATTGTGGCTGTAAATGGCAACAATTGTACTAAAGGTCGTACACCCATATCTTAAATGAACATGTTTTTTCCCTGCCGTCCGTCCCTGATTATGAGGTTATCTAAATTTACAGAATTCCCAGGTGCATAATAGGCTACAGCCATGTATTTGGATAAACAAGTCTATAAATAACTTGACGCTCTGTACTTATGATGTCTTGCTATAATCTTTATTTCTGTGCCCTTTAATTAATCTGATTAAAATTGGATTATGAGAGTGACGAGGACAGTAGTTGTACCACACCATCACATGGCATTATTCTACCTTTTATTCAAATTCCTTTCTCAAACATACTGTTTTTGATCGTGTCAGTCACCACAGTATTTGTTGCATTCGAAACACAGTAGGCCTACTATAATCATATGTATCTGCACTTATATTTATTTATTTTAGTTATATTTATTTTCATTTTCATTTCATTTTTTTTCGAATTAAAACTGGATTATGACAGTGACAAATATAGTAGTTGCATGGTCGAGGGAACATTTCAACTCTCAGTCGCCTTCGTATTTGTTGCTTTCGACAGTATTATTAACAAAGATTTTTAATTCTTTAATATAGTAATATTGTACTAAGCAGTACAGCTTTACAATATTTAAAAATTTAATTCAGTTTTCTTACATTTTATTTCTTATGAAACCATTATGTAAAATGTATTGCAATTTACATATGATCGATATTATTATAATACAACATTTAAAATAGGCTAGATAATTTATTAAATTCAGAATTAATTTTTATTTGCCAATTGTGCACAAGCACACAAGAAATGAATATGTTTTTGCTTCCTGTGATCTTGCTCCAAACAGCTCGCTGTTTTGCCAATTCATAACATAAACCAGAGCTCACCAAACTCGGTGACCCCTGACATAAACCATTCCTAAATACTGAAAGGGTTAAAGATATCAAAAGGGCAGGACTCGCTGTGTTTGACTGACACGGCTCGCTTTAATGTTCACACTAGTAGAAAAAGGGGGCGGGGCATATGTTGAAACAAAAGGTGTGCCTCAAGTCAAAATGACCAAATGAGGTGTCCACCCTGAGACGAAAATCTGACGTCACTTTCCGAGGGCGGGGTCGTGTCGGTAGACTGGCACATCATCATCATCATCTGAGGATACATTGTCGAGGCTGCAATGATGCACGAGCACGAGTGAGAAGAGGCGCTGCGCTGCAGGTACAGCGAGAGATTATTTGGTTTCACACGTATCCCTATAAAACCCGTTTCTCCCATAATGTCGGGCGGGGATCTCCGCGTTCTTCGCCAAGAGCCAGGGCAGGAGAGCCCGAGGATGCCGGCCTGGAAACGCGAGATCCTTGAGCGGAGAAAGGCGAAGGGCGGCGGAGCAGGTGCCGAGTCCGTCGCATCTCGACTTAACGGCGAAGTAACGGCCAGCAAAAGCAAGGATGATATCACCGGCGCACATGCTAGCACGAACTCTACCATTACCGCTGCCAAGCGCGCGACCAAAAGCCCGGATCTGTCACCGGTGAAAACAAAAGAGCACTGGCCATCTGCGGACCCGAGCCGCACGGAGGAGAGAACGGCGAGAGACATCAGAGCGCAGGAGAGCCTGGTATTGCAAGAGAGCTTGGGTCCGCTGCAGGAAAACCCATTCATTAAACTGGAAAAAGAACGCAAGAAGCGTCAGAGCCAAGAGAACGCCGCGCGACCTGTTCAGCACATCCTCGAGTTATACGGCAGCGTTCCCGGGATACGGACTATACGCGCTGAGAATATCATCATCATTGAATCCGACCCGGAGTACTTTTCGGAAGGATGTGGTTTGAAACATGCATCGAAACTGCAGCAGAACGGCACGGTGAGCGGCTATAGCTCTCTCAATGACCTGTTGGACCGAAGAGGTAGTCCGGTTACTGAGATACGCGCGAAGGAAGTGGTCATTTACGATACTGCACTTAGTAAAAGCGAGGAGAACCTCAGCACGCTGGGACGACCGGCTTCCTCCCCGCTGGAGGGGCAAGGCAGGGTGAGTCGCATGCTACAGAAATTTGACAGGAATTATTATGGCAAGCTGCAGCCCAAGTCACGCAGCACGGAAAACCTCCTGGACTTGGATTCCAGTCCTATCAGGCCAAGCTCCAGACCCAAGCCAGATGTGGTGCCAAAATGCCCATTATCTCCGCAGGCCGGTTCTTCACACAGTAAGGTCTTCCAAAATGTCCAGTCTTCCATGAGCAATCATCACGCCTCTCCTAGTGGCTCAGAGAGTAGTTCACCCGTTTCTGGATCCCCTCAGCTAGTATCTTCTGCACGGAGACGTTTCGAGGGGAGTGGGGGACGAAGTGTCACTGTGTATCCCAAGGAGGACACTGAGAGGTCTCCGTCCAAGCCTGTTAGAGAACGGGACTGGGACAGCACAGATGGGGCCTCCAGAGCCAAGGTGCCATGCTCTCCAGAGAGCCACCGTGCCCGTGCCGACTGTACTCCTAGCCCCACATCACCCCCTTTATCGCCCAGTTTTGAGATCCGCCCGTCCCCTCACCCGGATCTTTCTCTTCTTCCGGCCGGTGATCTACAGGCCCGTGCACTCGCCAACTTGCGACTCCAGTCTCGCAATTCCTTCACCGTCATTCCCAAGAGTCGAGCGGCCATTTCGTCACCTGGCAGCACCGCCCCATCCAGCCCTGTTCTTTCCCCCCCATCCCCACGACCCCTGGTGGGTGTGGCAGCTTTAGAGCCCGCAGTGCCAACCCCCTCACCTGCTTCTTTCATACCCTCCACACCAAAGCTTACAGAAAAGGTGACCATAGAAGCCAAAACAGCGTCTCCGCAACATACCCCACCTGCCACACCCACCTCTCCAGCCCCAGCTTCTCCACCCTCAATTGGCTCACCCGTCAAACCAGTCCCATCTCCGGATGATGAGCTGCCTATCACAAACATCGATGATATAGTCGTGGAGCCCACGCCGCCTGTCCTGAGCCCTGCGGTACAGAGGCGCAAAGGAAATACGTTTACAGTCGTTCCGAAACGGAGGCCCGAGGCCCAGTCTGGCCCTGCTGAGACCCCAGAAGTTGTCAATGAATCTCAGAGCACACCACAGGCCCCTTATGCCCATCTGGGAACCCTGATTAAAAAGCGTTACCCTGCTGCAGAGGAGATAGTGGTCATTGGGGGCTACCTCTCTCTTGGGCGATCCTGCCTCTCCAAGACTGGCTCAACAGGAAAAAAGGTAAATATAGTATCATATTTTAGCATAATATCTAATGACACTTACAAGGATCTTTGTTCTGCATTGGTTTTTTAGTTACTAGACATGTATTAAAGAAATATAATGTCTTTATGAAGTGGCTTGAAGTGGCATTCTGTCGTCATTTACTCATCCTGATGTCATTCAAAACCTGTATCACTTTCTTTCTTTTGTGGAGCACATAAGACAATATTAGGCACTCCCAGTCACTTTTCATTTTCATTCTGCCTAATATCCCATTTTGTGCTCTACTGGAGAAACAAAGTTATGCGAGTTGTGGCACCACATGAGGGTGAGGAAATAATGGCAGAACTTTCAATTTTAGGTTAACTATCCTTTTAAGAAGAATGAACTTTTTCCTTTCCTTGGCAAGTGTCTTTATTAAATCAATTATTATGTTCTTAATGAGTTAAAAATGACTTTAACTTTTGTGTATAGGTTTGTTTTTAGGTTTGAAATTTGTGCAAATACACAAAAAAGGCTTTATAGATGTTTTTCAGATAGTTGCTGGGTGTTTATGACCTGTTCAAAGGTTCACTGTATTCTTAACCATGTGTCAACCCAGCTGTTTGGATTTTCCACACACATCTCATAAAAACAATGCAAGACCAAACAAGCCTATAACTTTGTAAGGGAGATTCTGTACTGTCCATCATATTTTGCAAAGCAGAAGTAAGCTATTTTCTATGAATGTGTGAGACTTCTGATTTATTATTTATTAATAACTAGAAGAATAACAAAGTGCATTAAACAGTAAAACTATCTGAGCTACAAACCAGTGTGTTCATGGTTATGATCATATCAATTATGATAATTAATACCAACATTCAACATCATGCAGCATAACGCACAAATAGATCAGGTGGATACAGCGAAACCCATTTGGATAGCCACACCAAAAAAATTCTGAATATTGCATTAGATAACAGAATATCATAACAAGTGCCACTAAAAAAAAAAAAACTGTATAAGCGAATTTGTGCAAATACACAAAAAAGGCTTTATAGATGTTTTTCAGATAGTTGCTGGGTGTTTATGACCTGTTCAAAGGTTCACTGTATTCTTAACCACGGCATCATTCAAGATGTGTCAACCCAGCTGTTTGGATTTTCCACACACATCTCATAAAAACAATGCAAGACCAAACAAGCCTATAACTTTGTAAGGGAGATTCTGTACTGTCCATCATATTTTGCAAAGCAGAAGTAAGCTATTTTCTATGAATGTGTGAGACTTCTGATTTATTATTTATTAATAACTAGAAGAATAACAAAGTGCATTAAACAGTAAAACTATCTGAGCTACAAACCAGTGTGTTCATGGTTATGATCATATCAATTATGATAATTAATACCAACATTCAACATCATGCAGCATAACGCACAAATAGATCAGGTGGATACAGCGAAACCCATTTGGATAGCCACACCAAAAAAATTCTGAATATTGCATTAGATAACAGAATATCATAACAAGTGCCACTAAAAAAAAAAAAACTGTATAAGCACACTTGAAATGATGTACCGTTCATAATAAAGACAAAAGTTATCGGGATGCTTTGGTTGTCAAACGTTTGTGGATGATGTTTATATTTAATGTGAACAACACCTGTGCTTGCTCTGCTATGGACGTGGCTGGAATGTGTGGATATGATGAGAACTGACTTCATTCATCCATTAAAAATAAACAAAACACCAGCTAAAAATGGCTCAGAAAAGTGTTGTTTCTTAGAAAACAACAGAAGCCACTTGGTTTGATATCTAAAGAAATGACATTCACAAATTTTGAAGGGCAACTTGAAGTACAGTACAAAACTATAGAAATCAATCTAGAAAATGCTTAATGCAAATAATATAGAAAATACCATTTGGGGCTATGTAGTTTGTGCCCTGTTATAGACACAACCAGGGCTCAACAATGTGCTCAAATTGCAACTTAAATTTATAACCAAATGTAGACTTGAAAGAACTTGCCAGAAGAGGTCAGGTGATTTACGTCGGAAAATGAGTCATGTGTTCTGTTCGGAGTCAAGTCTCAGAGTTACTGAGGTCTAATAAAGGTCTTTTAGGTCTCTTGACTGTGAATCCTGAAGGGAATGTGAAATGGCAAACCTTAGGAAACTGGTTTAATCTTCCCTTCAAAAAATGTTTGAATTACTACACTCTAAAAAATGCTGGGTTAAATACAACCCAGTGCTGGGTAAAATAGAGACAAACCCAGCAATTGGGTTGTTTTGACCCAGCGGTTGGGTTACTACCCAGAAGGTTGAGGGAGGTCAGGTGATTTACGTCGGAAAATGAGTCATGTGTTCTGTTCGGAGTCAAGTCTCAGAGTTACTGAGGTCTAATAAAGGTCTTTTAGGTCTCTTGACTGTGAATCCTGAAGGGAATGTGAAATGGCAAACCTTAGGAAACTGGTTTAATCTTCCCTTCAGGGAAGTTGTATTTAACCCAGCATTTTTTAGAGTGTACTATATCTGCATTTTGCTAAAAGGTTACATTTGAAGCCTTTGTTTTTTTGTCCATTTGATTTCATATGAAATATGTAGGTAGGATCTGTAATTTATAGAGCGGATATCTGTCAATATGTGTTACTTGCAAGGCCATACTTGACTGCATTTTGCTAAAAGGTTACATTTGAAGCCTTTGTTTTTTGTCCATTTGATTTCATATGAAATATGTAGGTAGGATCTGTAATTTATAGAGCGGATATCTGTCAATATGTGTTACTTGCAAGGCCATACTTGAGATTTGTTTGACCTGTTACATAACACAGTCAAAATCGATCGCAAAACAGGAAACCAAACAAGCAGCAACGATCTGTTTCACTTCCTCTGCATAGTGGTTCTTGGCAAACAGTCATGGACTTTTTACTGATTAATATCAAGCTAGGTTTAGATTCATATCATGTGTTAAAAGTTGGGATGATTCCAGATGTTCAACTTGGTCAATTAGAGTTTTACTTGTTTTTTTTTTGTTCCCTATTTTTTGTGTTAACTTGAACAATTTTTGCTCTAATGCTACTGGGGATGAATTTAGAGACTACTTACCCTGCAAGGTTTTTAGACCTCTATCTGCTAGTTGTGTTAGACTGTCTGCACAGTAAACTAACTGATTAATATCAAGCTAGGTTTAGATTAATATCATGTGTTAAAAGTTGGGATGATTCCAGATGTTCAACTTGGTCAATTAGAGTTGTACTTGTTTTTTTTTGTTCCCTATTTTTTGTGTTAACTTGAACAATTTTTGCTCTAATGCTACTGGGGATGAATTTAGAGACTACTTACCCTGCAAGGTTTTTAGACCTCTATCTGCTAGTTGTGTTAGACTGTCTGCACAGTAAACTATCTCTGATAAGCATCAGTACTACTACTACCACAAAAGCAGCACTTTTGTACTTTAACAACAAATGTCAAGAAAACGACTGACTTTCCTGTTATTGTTTTCAGTCATTATGCATAATCCTTATAGGTTTTTGTTTATTGTGTTCTAGGATGATTTGTGATGCTAAAGTCTTGCACCTTTGTTGTTTTTAAGACACCGTGTCAAGTTAAATGTAGTTAAATTTTTCCTTTCTGTTGAATATAAGCATGCGTCCTGTGTCTTAAACCCTTAAAAAACATGTCTCTTTACTGTGTAGTAGACATCACACTTGAGGGCCATTTACTATAACATTATAGTTACTATAACATTAACTATAACTATAAAGTGTTAATAAGCATTCTAATTTCATGAGAACAGGGAAGTCCGAACCATAGCTACACTCTTAAAAATAAAGGTGCTTCACGATACCATAGAAGAACCTTTTTGTCTAAATGGTTCCATAAAGAACCTTTAACATCTGAAGAACCTTTCTGTTTCACAAAAGGTTCTTTGTGGCGAAAGAAGGTTCTTCAGATTATAAAAAGCTAAGAAAGAGATGGTTCTTTAAAGAACCTTTGACTGAATGGTTCTTTGTGGAACCAAAAAGGGTTCTTCTATGGCATCGCTTGAAGAACCTTTTGAAGCACCTTTATTTTTAAGAGTGTA